TTAACATATAAATCCTCTTGATCAAGTAATCAACATGTTAACTACTAATCCCAATGTTAAATTCAACTTAATTTCATTATCAAGGGTGAATTCTAAAGAGAGTGGCCAGACCAGAACCAAAGACTTGCGACAGGCTTATCTATAGAGGCCCCACCTGACTGTAGTCCACTGTGTATATACAGTACTTGTATCAGACCCCCCCAAAAAAAACAGTGCTTTGTATTAGAAATGGGTGAGAAGGAAAGAGGAAATGTCTGATTGCCGTGCAGTGATCAGTTCTCACAAACAAAGTACTTCCAACACATAAATACTGACTACATCTTGTTGGCTTGCTGCAGAGCTAACCAGCATTGCCACCCACTTCACCTCTTAATGCGGAGAGGGAGAGAGAGAGTCAATGCTTATGCTTTTATGTTGTGGGGTCTTTTTTTATCACTTACTGGATTTTAGGTTGAGAGATGTGTGGAATTTACCTTTGCCATAATGTATATAGGCAAAAAGGAATGGACATAATAAAAGGGGTTGAGGTTTAATTGGAGTGAATTAAGGGTCCTAAATGTAGTTCACAAATTTGATGATCTTAAGTAGATAATTGATCTCATGACTAGCTTGCCTATGTGGTCACGGTTCGGAAAAATTAAACCTAAAAGTTCTTTAGCAATAACCCAAATCTCACTTTCAAATTTGACAAAAAGAGATCTATGAATCAATAGCAACCTATAAAGTCCAAAGTTTTTTTTTTATTTTTTTTAAAAAAAGGCCCTGACTATTAGTGGACAATGCTCACCTCTTACAACCAATGACGTAGAATCCGAACCTTAACAATTAAATTCTAGCTGTCTAATTAATAATCAAAAAATTATTAGGTGTATCAGAACCTTACATAATATGTCGATATGGTGCACGTAACGTGGTAAACTAAAGAACCGTAACTTCACCAAAATTCTATTATTAACTCAATGGGTATGGGTTTGAACCTACCTATTGAATTCAATCATATCCAAACATAAAAACAAAGAAAATCGCTCTCCCCTTTTCCTTTATTTGGTTGGGACGTTCTCCTTTTGCTTAAAGCAAAGTCACTTCCATTTGCATAAAAGGATGACAATAGTTGCACAAATGATTGATTCACAACACATGCATGCACAACAGCTTGTAAATTTGTCACATCAGTTTTAAGTATATTTCACCAGAAGAAACATATATATATTTGTGGGGTAGAATTATAAACTAGTCTCTTTTTTATATGGGCTAAGTTTGGTTTCTCCCCAATCTTGTTTAACGAAAACTACAAAAAAAAAAAAAAAAAACCATCTTAAATAATATACCTAGCTATTTACCCATTAGTGTTCATTTAGTTAATTTTCTACAGCACCATTAAATTATTTCAGACTTTCAGTGTACTTTGTGGACCACGTATGAGAAAGAAAACAAACAAAAAACAAGTTTTTATTATCTTGCAACAAATTATACTCCTCTCTCTCTCTCTCTCTCTCAGCTTGTATTAATAATCCTTCTCCACCTTACCAAACTGAAAAGTTTCAAACCCATAGATTATTGGTACCTTGATGACAATTTAAAATTCTTTGGAAGTCAGAAAGAAAGCAGGAGGTCCTTGAGGAAAACCAACATTTGAGCACAATTTCAGCACATGCATAGAGAACATGAAGTGGGGGGGGGGTGGGGGAAACACCATGTGCATGTGGGATTGCAATAATATATTTCCATGGTAAAATACTATACAGGAGAATTTCAAACCCGTGCAGCTAAGTAAAATGAAATATGGATAGGGTTTTGAGAAAACCAAAATTAAATTTAAAAAAAAAATAGTATTTAAAAATGAACAGAACAAAATCTAACGTTTAGCGAAAAGAGCCTGTCTGCAGTGTGTTTGACCAGATCCCATGCTCTCCTTTAAATCTTTTATGTTTCCAAGACAGCACGAGTGTGTGTGTGTGTGTTGCATTGTAATTGTAGGACATATATAAGTCTACTTTGAGTTTCCATGTCCATGTCTTGTTTTGTGACTTCCAAACATTTCTGTCCTGCAATCTCAAATCCCTATAAACATAAAGATCGATGGACTATTTGCAGATGTTAATGTTAATTTAATTCAATTAAATTCTCATCAATTCGTTTTGAGGGTTACAAGTTTAAGAAAAATAATAGTTTCAAAAAAGATTATGACAAGGTTTGCGACATGCATGTGACCATCGAATAAAACTCAGTTGAATTCTGCTGCAGGCCAGTCAAATTCACAACGGAGACCGGCCCAGTCAAATTCTGCTGCAGCCCAAACAACTCATCTGTGTTCATTTGTTCTGTTTTAAAACTACAAGCCTCCACTATTGCCTATCAACCATGGCAGCGCCATCTATCTAGACTTAATTACCAAGCTAGCTATTGGCCTAAATAGTGGGGCAGCCATGCAGGCATGAGGTGGTCATGGCTCTTTATGGAGAGATTAAGGTTATGAATAGTTTAGTGGGGTCAAAATTTCAACTAACTAAAGTATTCATAATCCTAGCCAATCCGAAACATATTTTCTTCGCTTCACTCCTATGTCAAACCATGCTCACTGGCCCCCCTAATTTGTTAGGGTTTGACATGAAACATAATTGTAACGACATAAACATTGTTATAGACTTTGAAACTCACACAAAATTATGCATCAAAAGCTTCGAATCATATTTAAGTCAACTCGCCAAGACAAGATTAATAAACAAACGGGTTTTGAATCAACTCGCCAACACAAAATGAACACGGTCGAAACTAACTAGCTTGAAGTTTCCATGTCGAGTCAAATTCATGTAACTCATTTAGTTATATTAATTTAAATTTTTGTAGGGCTAAAATTATATACATAAATTTGCTTTTTGTAGAATATTCTCAATATTATCATGATTTTCTTATTATATATGAGTGGAGGAATTGATAAATATGAATATTTAACAGATTAAATAGGTTTAAATAGGTTAAGTATGTTTACTCTTGTATATGTTACACGGATATATCATGTTATTGTTTGATAACAAGTCATGTTGGAATTGGAGATCTCTGAATCTCTTAATACCTCAACACGACCCAATCCCACCAACAGTGGAACCTACGAGCGCAAACGCATTTCGTCCCTCACCAGGACTCTCACCAAATCCATTGCAAGCAGTAACCTCCAGTCCCTGCTCAGTCATGTGAAAGTTGCTTAACATGAAAGAAGCAAAGTTGATCCAGTATTTTCAACCAAAGTGTTCAAAGTAACTCCTCTAATTCCTCCATTGGGAAAAAATGGATGCTCTCTTGAGATCCATCATCAACATTTATTATATGATTCACATGAAAGACAGCATTTATGAAGTTAATGATTGAACCCTACTATTCACATAAAGATATGACATCATGCATCACCAAATACCTTCCTTCAATATTCCAGCCCTCTCTCCATCTCTTTCTCAAGCCTAAACTCATTAGTGGTACTCCAACTTCTGCAGGCTTATGTAGCCATCACAGATTCATCAGTCACAGGAGCTGATCAGTTTTCTGGCCTATAAATACGTACTGGCTGAGATATCATTATAATTAATGGGCCCATTTCATTTTTTAGCTAACAACTTGAAGGTCTACTCATTATGGCCTGCACAAGAAATTGTACAAATTATGATCAAGGAGAGAGGCACTTGGAGCGTTGGGGTAAAATTTGACCCCCACCCCCCTCTCCATCTCTCCAATCCAATCCAACAACAAAAGTTATGTGTGGCTGTGAATGAATGATGAGGTTGATTATTATTTTGGGAACTTGAGACCCCTCCATATGGACTCCAATTGATTTTGCTTTGTTTCCTTCCAGAGCCCTGCCAAGCACCTCATTGATTCACATTGACAGGTTAAGCTTCAATATAACATGGCATATCTTGCAGCAATCAGAAAAAAACAAAAAAAAGTATATGCGTGGCATTGCATTTTGAATTAATAGTCATTGAATAAAGATGGAGATTTTACCAAATGTCCTCTCACTGTGGGGTTAGTCTTAATTAATTGTGAGGATTTTAATGGAAATTCCACCCCCCACCCCTTTTCTTTTTTTCTTTTTTTTCAAATTTTCAATATCTCTTTTTGCTTTTTTACGGAAATTTGAACTTTGATCTTATTGGAATCCTAGTAGTTCATGGTTGGCAAGTTGGAAACCATCTGTTTGTTTCATTTGCACAAGTTCCAACCCTAGCAAAATACCCATTGGTTTTCAGTCATTTGAGTCTTATGAATTACATATATTTCTTCTCCCTTTCTTTCCTTCATGCCATTGCCGTTGACGGTGACTAAAAATACTTTCCACAAGTTGGTAAACCAAGCTCAAAACAAAACAAGTTAATGATATGTTTACTTGAAATGAAAGAAGTCATGAATTGCAAAACGGCAAAATAAGAGAGATCAGGATTGGATATGAGATCAATAACTGTGGATTACAAATGTGTAACCAACATAATTTTTCATTCATTAAACGCCAGAAATTTGTTCTAATCCCTATGTGTTCGGAAATTAGAAAAATCAAAATAAGTATAAATACTTATTCCGTGTAAATAAACATGTCACAAGAGTCCAATAAACACCCACAATTGGCATGTTATATCACTATTGGGTTCTCCGGTTATTCGCATTACACTTGTTCCCATTTGATTTGTAAGCATCTCCCATTAAACATAAAATTTGAATTTTATAACTTATGTGGCAATTTGACATATAATAGAGTTTTACATTAAAATATTAAATTATTATTTATTATTTATTAGTTTACTATAATTTAGGCACATTAATTAAATAATAATAATAAAATAATGTCATAGTCAAACAGCCAAAAATAACAGCAAAACAGAAAAATGTTATTCCACGTTGGATTTAACATTTCAGTTGGAGTAAGTCTCAGTTATTTTTTCTCAACCTAAAATGCCACGTTGGATTTTGCTCTAAGTCCCAAAAGAAACCCAACACAGGGAAAGCCCATGATGATTTTCATTTCTTTGACTGAGGCCCAGAAGATGCCCACTCAGGTCTGTGCTTTCTGCTTTCCATGGAGCTCTCTCCCCTCCAAAACCCCCTTCAAAACCCTAATTCCCAATTACACCATTGCCCATCAATTTCCCACCATCAACAACCTAAATTTAACGTCTTTTTCTGTTTAATTTTATGAATAGGTAAATCAACCTCAAGCTCAACCCAATTCTTTCTTTTTTCTTCTTTTTTTTCTCTTTTTTTTTTAAAATAAAAAAATCTCAGAGTTGTATAAGAATTCCAATTAGGCTGTGGTTGATTATGTTATGTCTGTTTTAAGTAGTTGTGTTAATATTGATTAGGAGGAGATTAAGATGAGCCAGCAACCATCGGTGATCCTAGCAACGGCTAGCTATGACCACACTATTCGGTTTTGGGAGGCCAAAAGTGGCCGCTGCTATCGCACCATCCAATACCCTGATTCAGTATGTCTCTCACTTCCCACTTTTCAATTTTTAAAGAAAGAAATTATCTTTGTGTGTGTGTCGTAAGTTTTGGATTTTGGAGTTTATTGAGATGTTGGTTTTGTTTTCAAATGATAGAATCCAACTGAGGTAAGCCAAAGAGTTGGCATTGAGAGGATTTGAGATTGGTGGAGTGGAATGGTTTCATTTGTTGTTAGGTCATTGAGTTTCCTTTAGTTCATAGTTGCTTGATTATGTTTTCTGAAAAGATTGGAAAACTTCCTGGTGGGTTTACTTATTGTTTATTTAATTCAATTGTGCTGGATCTGATTTTTCCATTTTTCATGAGCACAGCAAGTTAATAGGCTCGAGATTACTCCAGATAAACGCTTCCTGGCTGCAGCCGGCAATCCTCACATTCGATTATTTGATGTTAATTCAAACAGCCCTCAACCGGTTTGTCTTTCTCACTCTTAGGTTTGCTTTAGTTTTTGTTGAATTTAGATGGGGACTTTCATGATCATTTGTTCTTCTTCCATCTACTCATGAGCATCCTTTTGGTATAATTGTTTGGCAGGTGATGAGCTATGATTCACATACTAATAATGTAATGGCAGTGGGATTTCAATGTGATGGAAACTGGATGTATTCAGGTTCTGAGGATGGTACAGTAAAAATTTGGGATTTGAGGTAATTGTTGCCAACACACGTATGCTGTGATGTAGGATATGGGTGAATTGAGAATTTAGGTAGTTTAGCGGAAGCAAAAACAACGGAAAACAGAAAATAGAACGAACAAGGATAGGTCTGGAATCACTCCAGGGGTTTGGCTTCACACCAAGTAGTCTCCAATCTCTGGAAAATAAACTTTTCTTTATATCTCAACACCTCAACTACATAATGAATTACATAGAAGGGGTATTTATAATAATCTAACCCTAGAGTGAAAAGGAAAATTAAACTTATTCTAGGAAAGAAATCCTAAGCCAAATAAAATAGGAAACTTAGAAATCCTACTGAAATCTGGAAAAACTAAAATCCTAATGAAATCTGGAAAACTTAGAGAACCTAGGAAATAACAAATAAATTAGGAAACTAATTAATAATTCCCTCTTCCATCTCTTTCGTTTGTAAACCCTAATGGGTTTGACAAAGATGTCCTCATCATTCTGGTTGTGCTATCTATTTTTCTTTTATTAAGTCTTGTTCGTATTTTGTATATAGTTTGTTTTTCTTATATGTTGAGTTAATCACAGAGCTCCAGGTTGTCAACGGGAATATGAAAGCCGTGCAGCTGTTAACACTGTTGTGCTGCACCCAAATCAGGTAAACTTTTGTCTCGTCCCTTTCTGCTATGGAACATTTACGTTAGCTAAAAATGTTATTTGGTTGTAGTGTCTTAATAACTGCTCAAGTTATTAAGAAGGATAGAGATAACATTGACTTTCATGATAATGTAATTGTATGTGTTTTTTTTTCTTGAAAAGAGATGATAATCTTCGTAGACGATTTTCGTTTGTGTCTGGTAAGCTTAGAGAGTGCCAAATGGCTTTCCCAAAAGAGAGTAGGGAGGAAAAAAAACAAGAAGGAAAGCATCATGCTGGCATATGTGAGCTCCTACTTACATTAGACTGTTCAAGTATGGTGTTGAACTGGATGGAAGTTGGAACATGCATGCAGTTTTCCATACAGCCCTTTGTCATATCTGCGTAACTATCTTATGAGAGTGAACTTTCCCATAATCACCGTACATTGACCATGTACAGAGTTTTGGCTCATCAAATTGCTTATATAGAGATAGTGTTTGCTAAAAGGTCTTAAGTTGATGTAGTGAGCCAGTGGCCGTCTGTATTCTGTTGCAATAATGTTTCCCTGGGTTTTGTTCAAGTCCGATGTTATTTTTAAGTCAGAGTTATTGTTTCATGTTCATTCTTGTTCTATAATTGTCAATTTTATGCCCTTGAGAAAAATGAAAAAAGAAGGAAGAGCTTGCATGCCATAATGGTTTCAATCGTTTTTCTAATCTTTAAATCTGTATGTGGTTTTACAGACAGAACTGATATCTGGGGACCAAAATGGCAATATTCGTGTTTGGGATTTGACAGCAAATTCATGCAGCTGCGAACTGGTATGCTTCGCTGTCTTGCACTTACGTACTTCATATACACCTTTTATTACTGCTATGATCAAAATTGCAAATCTAAGGTGGTGATTGGGGGGGAGGGTTCCTCCCCGTTTTCATCTTACACTAATTTCAAAGGTCTCATTAGGAACCATGTTGTCTAAACAGCAATCTTTTTTAAAAGTCTTGGTATTTTTTTAGGTGAAATGAAGATCTAAGTGGGCAAAGTCTTTACTAGACTCGTGCACATGTGTTGTGCTGTGTTTAACAATAAAAACCTATCTTAAATAGAAAATAATTTTGAAAAACAAAAATACTGTGGTGTTCAATATGCAGGAATAGATGGTAGATGGGAAGGGGATTTTTGGATGGTAATTACCGAGGATAAGAATGTGAAATCGTTAACAGTGATGTGTAAATTTGATGGTTCTTTTGGATGGTAATTTACAGAATGGTACATTTAATATCAATCTATGGGGTGAATCTAGGTTCCAGAGGTGGATACTGCTGTAAGGTCATTAACAGTGATGTGGGATGGGAGCCTGGTTGTTGCAGCAAATAATCATGGTACATGCTATGTTTGGCGCTTGTTACGGGGAACCCAGGTAGTACCTTTATGCGTTCGATTATCTGATTTCACCTTCTTGTCATACTTCATTCATTTTGACGCCAAGTACTTTTTCTTCCAGACTATGACAAATTTTGAGCCACTTCATAAGCTGCAAGCACACAAGGGATACATCCTCAAATGTCTTCTTTCACCTGAATTCTGTGAACCCCACAGGTTTGATCCATCAAAGCCGATAACCTTTCTTTCTTTCTACCTTTCATTTAGGGTCAAATTTATTGTTTTATTTCGCCTTCTCTTCCTACCTAGTATTCTCTCCAGGTCAATAAACTTTTGCCTTTTACTATAACTTTCTTTTTTGGTTCAAACAATATCTACTATTTTATTTTTGCCTTCTGTTGCTAGCAGCCAGTATATTGATGTTGTCACATGTTGGCGTAACCTGTCTTTGTACTTCTAGATATCTGGCAACCGCCTCTTCTGACCACACTGTCAAGATATGGAATGTTGATGGTTTCACATTAGAGAAAACTCTAGTAGGTAATTATCTGCTATACCATTAAAGGTGCTCATTTTAGTTTACAATTTACTCAATACGCCTGATTGTTTCTTAAAACCAAGCTATATGATAAATTAATCTTTACTGTTTCTTTACCTCGTAGGACATCAGCGGTGGGTATGGGACTGTGTTTTCTCAGTAGATGGTGCTTATCTTATAACAGGTAATAGTTCTCAATAACTGACGATTTTAAATGAACCCATGTCTTCTGAAGCAGCTTGTAGATAACGATGGACGCTTCACAATTGAGGATTTTCACTAAGAGTTCTAAACCTTAATCTATAAAATGTCATTTTGTAAATTGGGATATGGCAGCATCCTATCCTTTTTCTGTCAAGTTTGTAGACTAATGCAGTAGTCAAACTTGTGCGATAAATTAACATTCAGATTCTTAGTTTTCGTTTTTCTCTAATTTTTCTTTGAAAAATAGTGATACTGATAACAGATTGAACAATTTATCATTTATCCATGCAGCTTCCTCAGATACAACAGCAAGACTTTGGTCCATGTCCACTGGTGAAGATATCAGGGTGTATCAGGGGCATCACAAAGCAACCATTTGTTGTGCACTTCATGATGGAGCCGAACCTTCTTCATCCTGAACCAGAATCGTCCTTGGCTCATCTACATGCATGTCTGCCTCGTGTGTGTATGTGTGTGCGCGCGCACTCGCAATTACATTATTGTTTATAATGGAATTGTATAAAAATATGGGGGTGCTACATATCTTATTTCAGGTTCCCCATACAGATATCTTCCACCTAATGTGCATTATGTGTATTACTTTTGTAACCAAAATAAAAAAGTATACTTTCTTCATAATTCCTCGACACTTTGTTAAATCCACAAATTATATCGTGTCCTCTAGTAGAAGCCATACTGAACAAGTGAGATCAGCTATGCCTGCACTGTTTATTGCAAGCAATGTTTCTTATTGTAAGTGTTAGCTTTTATTTTATTTTATTTTATTTTTGTGCAATCTCATTGAATAGTTTGTAATAACAATACAGCTGTATAATCCAAAGCTTTGGCTTTCTTGGCTTTCATTGCCCTTGTACTAAGTGGTGGGGGAAAAATGATACGGTAGACTTTTTTCGTTTTCTTCCCAATTCCCATTTTATCTCTGTATTTGGTGCTTCTTCATTTACCACCCTTTTCTTTCAGGTGAAAAAAAAGATTTTTCACTTTAAAATAAGGTGAGTTTATGGGGGGGTTTTGGCTTTAAGTGAATAAGAATGTAATTTCCACCAAGAATGTATGTTTGTGTGTGAGCGCAGACACCATGTAGCATTTCTGATACCGGTCTAAAACCACAAGCACCACGGCACCTTTCGTACATGAAGGCAATTATTTAGCTAACTCCTATAATCTTGCGCTGATAATTTCCTATATATAATTACAGTTCTACCCTACTTGGTTAGGGTTCATTCATGGCCCTGCCCACTCCATGTCCGGAGGATTTGCGAATCCCTCCTGCTTCCACCTCATGGGATCCAAGTTGAGAGAGATAAATTGAACAGGTTTGGCTCCCCCTATTGGGATGTACTATTAACCCTAAATTGGGGCTACACACTAAAAATTACAGTAGAGTAGTTTATGAATGTCTCTGCGGTGGACTTGATTTTACCAAAGATGATGAGAATGTTAATTCCCAATCATTTATGCAAAAGACCATTTATTATTTTGTGTGGAAGCAACGGCTGAAATAGGGATGACAAAAATCCACGTTGGGTTCTCAGTCCTAACAAGGGGAGATTTCAGGGGGTAAATGGGTGTGGGTACCGGGATCCCCGATTTAAAAAATACCCGATCGGAGACGGATCGTGATAGTATTGTTATCCTCGTTTCCGAACTCGGGGCAATAAATGATGTATTTATTTTTAATAAATAAATATATATATATAATATAATATAACAATTAAAAAGTTTTAATGTATAAATAACTAATTAAATAATATAGCAGCTGTATGTATAGCCACATATCCTTTTCTTGTGCAAGTTTTTTTCGTTTTCCATTGAGTGAGGACATTCATCTTGATGATGAATTGTCGATGAAAACAGTATGTTGTATTAGTTCCATTAATTTTTATCCCATATTCTCAAAGAAAATTATATGATTTTATTATTTTTGTCAAATTGAATTGAGTTGAATTTGAGTAGTTGAGTGAAATTTTAATTGAGTTAAATGAGAGTTTAAGGTGAAATTGAAGTGTAATATGGATAGTTTTTATATATTTTTAAATATATAATCGGGTATTTAGGTCGGGTTTTGGGATATAATCCCCCGATGGGGTAGAGGGGCAGGAATTCCCAAAATTTCATATTGAGAATGGGGGTGGGAATGGAGATGGTATTGCCATACCTAGCCCCTAACTGCCCGTTGCCATCCCTAGGCTGAAACATGTGAAATCAAAGGCCATTACTTGAACGACATGCATAACCCACCAGAAAAGATTAGGAAGTTAGGATGGTACTCAGTATGTTGTATTAGTTCCATTAATTTTTATCCCATATTCTCAAAGAAAATTATATGATTTTATTATTTTTGTCAAATTGAATTGAGTTGAATTTGAGTAGTTGAGTGAAATTTTAATTGAGTTAAATGAGAGTTTAAGGTGAAATTGAAGTGTAATATGGATAGTTTTTATATATTTTTAAATATATAATCGGGTATTTAGGCCAGGTTTTGGGATATAATCCCCCGATGGGGTAGAGGGGCAGGAATTCCCAAAATTTCATATTGAGAATGGGGGCGGGAATGGAGATGGTATTGCCATACCTAGCCCCTAACTGCCCGTTGCCATCCCTATGCTGAAACATGTGAAATCAAAGGCCATTACTTGAACGACATGCATAACCCACCAGAAAAGATTAGGAAGTTAGGATGGTACTTAGAAGCGTCTTTTTCCTACCATTTTTCTATAGAATTTCAACTTTACATTTTTAGTTAGTTATTGAAAGATTTAAGAAATATCGTTGTTTGTAGTATTGGGTATTTGAGTCCTTTCACACGGTTTTAATGGCCATTTTTCTAAAAATGTAATTGGGTGTTAATAAATCAACTCAGTAAATATCATCAATCAGCCAAAAAAAAAAAAAAACAAATAAATATGATCAGACCTGCGTTATTAAAACTGACCTTGGACATTACATGCTTTCGAAATTTTGAGCGAGGCTTTATAAATAGCAGATTAACGAAAAAAGAAAAAAGAAGAACTCATGTAAGTGAAATACAAATAAAGGGCTGCAATTGGCCCAAAATATGTAAAAGTCTCATATATATATATATAATCTATCTCTGTGTGCATTCAACCTCCATCTTGTGCATCAAATCAAAACATCCAGTACCCACATTGACTGGCAATCCAAGACAGATCCTAGCAGATGGGGTTTCTAAGCGATCCACCTGCCCATGATATGCTGCTTCAACAATGAACTTGGAAGCTGTCTCAAAAGTCATTTTATTAAACGGAGATATCGACTCCACGATGCCTCCAAATCGATTCAATGGACGATAACCACCAGCATGAGTCATAAAGTCAGCTATTAGTGTAAGATGCCTAATGTTGACGGATATTCCGTAAGACTTGAAAACATTATTTATTTCTCGGATGATAGTTTCCCTGGCGGCTTCTACTCCGTAAGTGTTCAGCATCGCATGTATGTTATTGGAATAAATATACCTGACATCAAGAACATCTTGCAGTTTCCAAAATGTACCGAAATCAATTCCAGTAGTTTGCAGAGCTGCCATCTCCTTTTTTTCCTTGGATGAAAAACTTTGTTTATTTTCAGGATCCTTCCCAAAGCAGAGGACTTGATTTTCATCACAAGTAATTTGTTTACAGTCTGCAACCTTTCCAGATCTCTGTATATAAACCTTCTGGGCTGTCTTCTGAGCAATCTACATAACATAATTCAAACAATTTTCAACACAGGGGTGAAAGAGAATGTGCAGTAATAAAATATATAATGAACACCTGCATAGTAACAAAAATATAAAACGCCACATGAATCTAATTATACTCGTAAGTTAACAACGGTTTTGGGCGTGCTTTTTATTGTGCTGTTTTTGTTTTTCCTATAGTTTTTATTTATTTTTATGAAGCTTCTGACCCAAAATAGCTTGTCAGAGGGAGAAATGCTGAGTAACGTGTGGGCTAACTTTCCAAGGAAATAAATAAGAGCAGAAGTGTGATAACGAGTAAAACTAGAAGTACCTGAGACAGCAAAATATGAGGTTCATTGTCGGTAAATCTAAAATGGACCTCGAAGTGAAACCCCTTTGCTGATACAAAAATTGCCCTGTCAGTCTCCTTTTTTACCATCTCTGCTCGGACCTTCCTTTTCTTTCTAATTTGGGTTCCCGATTTGGTCTTTTTCTCCTTTGACTTGGGCTTAGCTAGGTCCCCAGCTTCTTCTAAAGGACTTCCAGGCATTTCATCACTAGCATCGATAACCCCAATTTCAACTTCACTTTCCTCCTCATCAATTTCACTTTCATCTCCATCTGACAAGTCTGCTTCTCTCACTTCATCATCACAGCCATCTTCATAATCCATCTCATCTGTAGCTTGTAGCTTTCGCTTATGTGCATCCAGACCAAAATCCTCGACCCCTTCACCATGTTCACCATCATCTGCACCACCATTGTCATCATCTTCTTCCTCACGTTGAGATATTTTTTCAGAACGATTTTCATCTGTCTCATTTGATGCCTTCGGTTGTGAATCAGGCATGAAATTTTTAATACCACTAATTTTAGAAAGCAAAAGAATATGATTTTGTATGGCGTCTTCCAACTCCCTAACAAACAGAGTCTCTAGGATTTCCTCCCAATCTTCTGATGAATATTCAACAATGGTTTGAAGATGTTCAGGTATGTGGAGTGTCATCTCAAGCTTATAAATACGGCAAGTTTGACCATCCTGAATGGAAAATGGCACAAAGGTTACTTTCATACTCTCAATTATGTCTGCCACAGTGATTTTCTTCAACTTATCAGCTAGCTGCTGGGCTTCCTCCCTGCATATAACAAATAGAGTATTTCTAAGTCTATAAACATAAAACACGGTGCCCCTACATTCCATAAATGTGTCCAAACTAGAGGACAAACATCGGATAACACATGGTCAGCAGGGTTTAGCAATATTTAAAACTAAGAAATACATAAGCTCTGTCATTGAGAGCGAATTTACAAAAAAGCAATTGGACATCAATAAACACTAGGTATCGGTTATCAGCAAGGATAGCTTTGCACTCAAAGTTGCATTCAATTGAGACAGAATAAACCCTTACATCAACCCTACCCTCACTTTAACTATGAACCAGAGCCTTTTGTGAAAATAAGATTATTCAATAGCTCAGAGCATTCTCTTTGAAATTTTGAAAAAAAAAATCCGTACTGTTGCAAGGATTACTTAAAGACTTATAACAAAATATTAAATGTACAGTATGTTCAGTTGTCTACTAACATACCCACCCAAAAAAAAAAAAAAAGCAAAAGTATATCACAACAACAAATTAAAGACTCACTTCGATCTCCCCTTTTGCAATGGGCATGTCATAACCGGCGTCTTAATATCATTTGCAGCAGTCATCAAGATCTCTTGGAGGCGTGGGATTCCAAGGGTCACATTCATTTCACCTCGTCCCGCAAGATGGAAAGTATTCAGTCTGAAAAAGATAGCAATGACCATATGGCAGGATACATATTAATATAACCAAAAATAATGCTCGCCTAAATACAAAAACAAAACACGTACCAAATGCATTTGGTTGTACCAAAAAAAAGAGAGGAGAGATAAATTTTTACATCTTTTTTTCTGTTTGAAAAAGAGAGAAATCTTATAAAGCAGAAAAATATATGATTACAAAGAATGTGGAACTGATGGCCAGTTCAAAGAGACCTGCGAAGGAGAAAGACAAAAGCTA